GTGGCTAGGAAAGAAGCTGGAGCTAAACCATATGTTACGGTGTTTAACTTGTATGTGCGTATTTCTTCGTTAGGATTAAACCTCCAAAGAATTTGTTGGTAGTTCCGATCCTCATCGGACACTAAAACTTGACGGTACATTTTCTCTATGTCTGCTGAAAAGACTATTTCCGGAAATCGAAAATTAATTAAGTAAAATTTCGAAAATGTCTCGTTGCAATTTAGGACCAACACCCAAGATTGAATTCAATGATTTACCGTTGGAAGTTTTACATGAAGCGTCGAAAACGACTCTTAATTTGGTAGTTGTACTAGACGGCTTGATCACTGCATGATGGGGAAGGAAATATTGCTCATTCTGAAATCTATTTAAACAGTTTTGTGTGACCAATTCCATATGACCTAAATTTTCATATTCATGCATAAAATCCTTGTATTGGTTTTCAAATTCCGAGTTTTCCTTAAATTTACGTTCCATAGCATATAATCGAGAAAGTGCAGCTGGTTTTGAATTACCTAATTCAGATTTAGATTTTAAAAATGGCAACTTCACCACAAAACGACCATCTGAATTAATTGAGTAATTTTCCCGAAAATGTGTTTCAACAAATTGTTCTTCAGGTGAGAATACAGTGTCAGTTGAATTTGGTACACTTCTTCTAACTCCCAAAACCTTTTCAATTCGCTGTCAATATTTATTTCATAAATATGCATGTTTGAAAGTGAATTTGATTTCGTTTGAGATTCCGGTAGTTTTCCGGATATGAGGAAACCAAAAATTGAGTTTTGAGCAATTAAATCACTTTGAGAACAAGTTATTTGTCCAGGAAGTAAAATAGAAAACAAGTAGTCAGATCCTAGAATAATATCTATCTTATCCGGAATGTGAAAATATGGATCAGCTAACTTTACATTTTTCAAATGCGAAAAGTCTTTCTCATTTATTTTTTGGCTTGGAAGCGCAGCAGTTAGTTTATCTAATACAAATGCCTTAATTGGCATTCTCACTGATGTATCATGGATTGACATCAACTCGATTTCAACGCAACCTTTTGTAACTGCGACTTCTGACTCAGCTAAACCCTTGACAGGGAAACGCGCATTTTGTCTTTTAAATCCCAATAAATTAATACAAGATTCAGATAATAATGTTGATTCGGAACCATTATCACAAAACATTCAAATATTACGTTTTTGACCCATCGAATCAATTAAATTTACATATGCAGTTGGCAATAAGCCAAAAGTTGTTTGAACGCTATTATTTTGAATTACAGTTCCGTTTTTGTTTTCATTCGTAGATGCAATGTTTGGTATTTCATTCGCGGTTGGATTCTTTCTTTGCTGTTCTGACTGAAAACTAGTCACAGAAAGAGACGCAGATGTGGAATAACTTTTTAACTGATTTTCACACAGAGTACAATGATGCAATAACTGGCAATAATGACAACGATGTTGAGACATACATTCAGATTTTTTTGTGTTGAATAGGCAAACAATTTAAACAAAGATTATTTTTCCTAACAAATTGAATTCTTTCTTTGACAGTTAGTGCTTTAAATTTGGGGCATTTGAAAGAAAAATGATCTGATTTACACATAATACATTTGATACTTTTTGTTCACAGAAAATCTTTTAACACTAGGTTGAGTTTTTTCCCTTTCTTTTTCGTGGAAAATTTCTAAAGAGGAACATCTATCATTTATAAATTGAATAAACATTTCAAAAATGTAGGAAATTCCACTTTTTGCTGAAAACTCAGACCATTGTTTACATGTTTCGTTGTCAACCTTCTGTAATAAAATATAAATTAGCCAAATATCCCTTTCACTAGCTTTTAGATCAATAGATTTTAAACCTCTGATAATCTCATCAGAAGTATCGGCAATTTTTCGCAAATTAATTGAGTTTGCATTAATTACACAAGATTGTTCCATGAAAGTTTTTATTAGTGATGTGACAATTTGTTTTTTTTATCATACTTAGATAATAATTTTCCCCAGGCTTCCATATAACTATTTTCTGAAATGGGAATATGTTTAATAATAGAAGCCGATTCATCAGTTAATAAACCCTTTAGAGATTGAAATTTTTGAATGTTGCTTAAATTTTCATTGTTATGCACTAATGATACATATAAGTCCTTGAAAGACATCCAGTTTCTGTAATTACCGTTTGAAAAGACTGCATATTTATTCTCGGTAATTTAAAATTATTAGCAGTATTTGTAGTACTAGAAACTGGAATTTGACGTTCATTAACATTAGTAACTTGCATATTAACAGTAACATTTAATTTCTCAAGTTCTTGTTGTAGTTTGGCTTTGGTTTCATAATATTTTTTCTCAAATTCTTCCATTTCAGAACTTTCCGGCGGAAGTTCTGCGTCTGCCTTGTCAAAATCAGAATAAATGCTTTCAATTTTTTGAAGTTTATTCATTAAATCGTATTTTTCGAATAACTGCTTATCATCATTAATGAAATTTGAAATTCTGGTAATAGCAGCTTTCGCTCTACCTCTACTATTTTTTGCAATCTTAACCTTGTCTTCCATTACGACGTAATGGTGCAATGAGGAAAACCAAAGTCAAACTTGTAAAAAAGAAAAAAAATACTTATCTTGCTTGGTCTTTAAATGAAGTGATTCTAAATGTATCCAGTAGTAGCCAATACTGTACCGAATGCAGCGTTGCAGTGCTGACGAAACCGAAATCAAAAATCCTTTTATCTCCTCGGTGCCTCCAAAATATTATGTTGCGACGTAATGCGAATGAACTTGATACACGTCTTCGTTTTAAACACAAACTTATATTAAATAACTGCACAATACAAGTATAAACAATAAAATGACATATAACACTTATAAGTACGAGAACAGAACAAAAAGAGACAGCATTACAGCTGCCTTGCGAATGCGTTCGTCTGAGTCTGACTGTTCAACTGAATTCTATGTTCTTTGGCATAGTTCCAGAAGCGAAAGAGTCAGGTTGAGTTGTTCTGTTCCGGCGCACCGGAACAGTAAATGATCTTTTATCATAATGTTTAGTTCGATTCAATTTCTTTTTGTAAATAAATACCGAAATTACTAACATCAGTATGAAATCAAGTATCAGTGCTGATGAAATTATAACAAATTGGAGGAGATATTGATGATTTTGATTATAAATAGAAAGAAAGCTGAAGTAAGAGTCTTCGATAAATATAATTTTTCCGAAAGAAAAGCATATTTAATATGTGGAATAGACAACATCTGTACAGGAATGAACAATAAAAATATATGAATGCGTTAATAATCGAATCTTAAAACTTCCACTTGGGCAATATAAAAAACTTTCAACACTGAAAATGTATATGCATGAAAAGTTCATATTAACAACAAGCAGTCTCTGGCAGTCCTCTTTGACTGCAACACTGTGAGATGGTACAAATATTGAACTTTATTCTTAGAAACTGGGATCAATGACTGTTTCTTCTTTAATTCCTTCGCATCGTGAGAGGCCATAATCTGTTCCTGTCAAACATCTGACCCGCCCGTAAATACGAATTTCTGTTGGAATGGATTTCTTTCCTCTTGCTTAGTAAACTGCTGCAGCGTTAACAGTAACCTAATTCGCTGAAGCGATTACTTCTCTCTTGGGGATCTCTGTACGGTTTCAACAACTGTGTGCAGTTTTCTTTTAGGATAGGATTGCAACTGCGAGCATCAATAGTTAAATGCCGACACTAAACGAAGGAGATCGAAGGTGCATTCAAATAAGAGAACTACTTCAGTATCTTCAAAAGAATGATTGGTATGCCATTTAACAACTCACGAAACTAACGAGCCATGCACTAACATGATCAGGGAAAACATCAGGTAGAAAATAAACATAAGCTCTCCGTGGCGGCCTGCTGATGTTTGAATGCACAGGGTTATGGGCGACTTCGTTGTGAAAGAGTTAAACCTAAAACAATATATGAGGTTTATATCACATATTTTTACCAAAATTTCTAATTATTAGTTTGCGTAATGGACCCCTCTCATATTTAACTGAATACCCATTACGAACGCGCATATACAACGTTTATAATACTGAATCATTTCCTCTTTCAATATACACTCATTTTTTTTAATTACTTAAATTTTCAATTAAAAAAATTAAGTATATTTTTAAAAAAATTGTTTACTTAAATAGTTTTAAAGTTTGTGTTTACTTTAATAGTAGAAAATTTATTTGCTTTAACAGTTCTCCTTTGTTTACTTTAATAGTTTAAAAAATTAAATAAAAAGTTAAAATGCTATTCAAAATTAAATTTTGTTAGTTTAGCTTCAAACGTTTGTGAATACAATTTTATATGCATGATAAAACTATATAGACTACTTTGTAATATTGTAAAAAATTATGTAAATTTGTAATTGTAAAAAATTATGTAAATTTGTAATTGTAAAAAATTATGTAAATTTGTAATTGTTAAAAAATTATATAAATTTGTAAATGTAAAAAAAATGTATGAGTGTATTAAAAGAAAAATACTTACGCACTTCAAAGTAATTAGAATACAAATGTAAAGAAATGAAACTTCTTAATAAATTTTCTCGTCTTCCATTAAAATAAATATATTCTAAAAATAATGAAAGCAAACTCTTTCACTAAATGGAAATAACTTCCAAATTACTAAATATGGTATAATATTTTATCTTTTAATGCATTCAGTATTATAGCAGAAATATTCATACATACGCTACATAGAAATTCGTCATATAATTCGTAATGCTTATTTTTCTGCATTTCAAAGAATAATTTTAAAAGTTAAATGTGCAGTTACTTTATATTTTATAATGTAAGTTAAATGTGCAGTTACTTTATATTTTATAATGTAAGTTAAGTAATATATGCATAGGATGTCTAAGAAATAAGTTTTAGTCATAATCAGTGTTTTAGAAGAAACTGATTTTATGTATTTAATTATGCATTTAATTAAATTTATTTCTGTATTCAATTAATGATTATTATGATTGCAGAAGGCAGAACTCTACCTCACAATCACAGGCAAAAGACATTCCCAAATGGGACTTTGATTATCGAAGATATACAGAGATCACGTGATGGAGGAAAGTACCATTGTATTGCTGAAAATAACCAGAGTCGAACAGCTCGAAGAGATGTCTCCCTTAATGTTATGGGTAGGTTCACTTTCGATATATATGTTGCATAAATATATATGTAAAGAATTATCTGTAACATCTTTGAATAAAATTCGGTTTGAAAAGATCATTTGGCAAAAATTAAACCTGTTTTCAAGAACAGATGTTATTAAAAATTAAATCATTAAGATTTGGAGTAATGTAAATGTATTGACTTATGCTTCAACAAAAGAGGGAAAACTCAAAGGAAGGCAAATAAAAAATAAAATGCATCTTTAGTCTACTGAAATACCACTCTATAAAATCAGTGTTCAATATGGTAATAAAAGACCAACGATTTCGAGGGTCAATCATTTACCAATTTTATTAACAGAAACAACTACATACGACAAATATACAGAGGCTGTTCGCACACTTTTAGACGACTTTACTTTGCTATAAAATCACATTGGAAATTTTTTTTTCCGCAGTTAAATTTTTGAAAGTGTAAACTATAGTCTACTACTTGACAATGTGGCTTTCATGCAAAATGGCGGTTTTAAAGAAGCAATATGGACACAAGGATACTTTTGTGCTCTTTCTGGAGAAAATTGTCCGTATTTAGTTATTGAAAATGCTGTGAAAACCATGATATTTCGGTATCTAAAGCAGCGATAGATAATATTATCAAATAGAAAGCATCAAAGTTTGGCTCCTAAAGAAAAATTCTTTAAATTACATATCGGAGGATACAAAGGGATATTTCGCATCTTGCAAACCTAAGAATTCTACTGTTAACCTTCCAGCACGGGCGCTTGGCAATTTTACATGAGCACGCACGCGTCATATTTTCTACGACATCCGTTATTTTACAGATTTTGGCACGAAAAACGACAGAAATGAGTGAATTTCGATAATAAATTTGTTAAGAAATAAAATATTACTCTTATTATTGCAAAATACAAATGATATCACATTCAAATATAAGTAAATTATTTTTTAGTTCTTATGTTAGTGAGATGGAAATGCAATGATGTATTTCATTTTAGAAAATTTTAAATTTATTATTTAAAAATTATATTTTAAAATTGAAGCTCATTCAAATATTCATCAAAGACAAGTATAGACAATAAAAAAGGAAAACACCTTGGTAGGAAAAAAGTAATTTTAGTATTACTTACTTCTGCAAGGAAATTTATTTCTTACTGGTTACAAAAACGCACTTTAAACTAACTTTAATGTTTTTATTTATTTCTAAAAAATAGAAATAAAGAAAATAAGGAATGGAAATTTCTATTGTTTTCCCATCCAAAGGTTTCCTTGTCTTCATTTTCTTCACCAGATAATTCTTGAAGAATTCGAGCAAAATCAGCAGGTTGCACATATTTTTTGCTATGAAAACCGATATAAAATTTACAGACAAAAATGTATTCAAATTAATATAATACACTGCAATTAATAACACAAAATTACAAAATATTTGAGAAGAAAAATATTTTTCCCATTTTCCCCCACGACCACGCGCGTGTCGTAACTGTTACGAAAAAGCTGCCATCGAGCACAAAACCCCAGTTCGAAAGGGTAGAAAAGAAGAATAAAAATGACCTTCATACGTTTCAGCTTCGATATGCGAAAAATGTGCATTACAAACTGAATTTGTCGTAAATTTTGCGCATACGTGAGTGCTGGAAGGTTAAGCACAATCAGTTCCATAATCATTAAAATGCATAATATCAACTCTAAACAAGGTGATTAATGATGATTTGAATCTTAAAAGATAGAAAGAAACATAATGTGTATCCTCTTTCTCCAAGACACATTGCCCAAAGAAGAATGCGCTGCAGAATTCTCTTTGAGAAACAATTATTCGAACAAAAATTGAAAAATGTTGTCAGAATAGATGAATCTTGGATATACTATTTAAATGACCGCAATAGAAAAAGATCCATTTATTATCATCAATGAGAAGAAAAAAAAAATCTTAGAACCTGGCTCAAATAATCTAAAGAAAGTTTTTGAAAGCAATTTATCTTGGTGATGGTTTTTCTTGTAACGACAGATAAAAACTAACTGTGCCTTAACAGTGCAGGACACTGTTAAGGCCAACTCCCCATATCATTAGAAACATATGATATACCCTACTTCTCCATACAAAATAACTTAATGCATGCAAAATACTTTTACATACAAAATAGCATTAAGACAAAGCAAACAGCCATATGTCAAATCCGCTATTAATTGCCTGGAAAATATGGAACAAGAAATAGGTATCAAGGCCATACTCTTTATATCCCTACTAAATCTCCAGGTGTATCATCTACGTATTTTTGCGCTTTTAGACTTCTAGGAGGATTATATGTCGACTTTTGAATCAGGCAAATCATTTGATCGAACTTTGAAGCATAAAATCATACTTTTGAATCCAAAAGTCCACTTAAATCCTCCTTGAACTTTGGAAAACTGTTCAAGAGAAATTGATTAAAGTACGTCTTTCGATACTAAAATGACAGTATTGCTTTCGAAATTACGATGTAGAAAAAACACTCTCTCGGGCTAAAACTAGTAATAATACAATACTCCAAGTCATTCCCCTGATCAGCCAGGCCGTATATATACGGCTTGGATAGATAAAGCAACCGTATATGCCCTGTATATACGGTCTGACCTCTGACCGTATATGCCCTGTATATACGGTCAGAGGAATAAAATATCTGAAAAGCCAGAAATACTGTTTAATCATATACGCGAGTAGATTAATTTTTACATAAAAGATACAAAAGTTGAAAATTGCACTCAAACAGTATCCTTATATTAGGGACTGAAGCATATTTACTGACATCTTAATTAATGTACTATCAGTAGGCGCGGTATCGTGTGTTCTTCTTGACGTTTTACTAATGCGATTTACTTTAAAAAATTATGACATCAATGAGATAGAATTTTTAAGAATCTTTCTGTTACTCACGTTTTATAAAATAAAGCTTGTTACATATATATTAACCGAATGTAATTGGTATTGTATATTCCTCTTACGTATTTAAGATGTATTAATATGATTGTTAAAATCACATTTTAATTTCACATTGATCTCAGTACCTCATTATGAACAACCGAACCACACTATTGACAACCGAGTTCCTTAGCATATTTTCCAAAAATACTTACCTTTCTTGATTTTACATTATATGATGCGGACACACAGATATTACCTGTTATTCAAACAGACCACACGAATTTTGCTTTCCAAAAAAGATTTTGCAGTATTTAAGGATTTCATTTATACGGTACTATTATATTTACAAAAAACTTTAAATTATTTATAAAGCACTATGATTAAAAATAACTGCATTTAATTATATTATACTGTATAAATAATACATTTTGTTTTTGAATATTTTCTTTATATATATTTAAGATTTTCTGTAAATCTCTTCATGTTTAGAAGGTAACTGCCTAGATAAATAAGAAGACATTCACAGACGGAAGTAGACGAGTTAAACCTAATTTATTAGTGGACACTTAATTCTTGCGATATGTGTTCTCATCTCATATCATTATGCTGCAATAAGTGCCCCACAGTTTTGTCATCACATCAGTAACAAATATTTCGACTTATTCTTTCTCTTACCTCAAATGATGTACAAAAAATACATTATTTCGATTTTGTGTTATTAATTCGTGTAATAATAAAGCTACTTAGCAAACTGCATTAATAAAATGCACATTTTTAAATGTTCGCCGAATTAATACAAAAGAAAAAAGTAGTAACGTTCTTTAACTTGAAATGTCATTTCAAGGACTTATGTAGCGTGAACTATCAACATGCTACGTATAACAATTCTGCCAATAAATTATGAAGTGTCATGAAAGCTGAAACTTTAAGACCGATTTCCTATTCTGAAAAATCTGATTTCACTTTTTAAGGTATTTCAATTTTTAAGGTTTTTCATTTCAAAATCAATAAATTATTCACAATTGTTGCAATTTACAGCATAAAATCATACATAATTAAATAAGAAATGCTTCTTTTTTTAATGGATATTTAATAAAAATATTAAAAAGCAGTACTTTCAAAATTGAACTATTTGATTTCTTCAGAAGCCAAAGTGCAATCCCTTTTTTATTTAGGTAGTAATAATTTCATATTTATAAATATCTGAAATAATTTAATATTTGATTTGGTATTGCCTAAGGTATTTGCTTGTTTTCAGCTCCTCCGGTCGTAGAACCATTCTTTTTCGCATCTGGCTTATCAGAAGGTAAAAGAGCTACAGTGACTTGTGTTGTTGCTTCTGGAGATCTGCCTATTCGAATTTCCTGGATGAAAGATGGAAAGCCTTTGCCAGACGATCTTAGAGGTTCTATTAGTACTGTCAACGAATTTACTTCGACTTTATCTTTCAGTAGTGTGTCTCAAAATCATAATGGAAATTACACTTGTATAGCGACTAATCCCGTAGCATCAAGAAACCAAACTGCCACCATGATTGTCAGAGGTAATGTGACATGAATTATTATTTAGTTCTGCTTTGCATGCATTTTAGCAGAATTATTAATACTGAAAATGTGCCTAATTTACCGCATATCAAACCCGTCATTGTCTGGCTGGCACTTTTAATTTCAATCAGATATTTGGATTTCAACATCTGAATGCTTTTATTTGAGGCTGTCAAATCAATTTTTTAAAGCAAAGCATCTTGTTCTATTAAAATATATTCAACAGAGATTAGGAACTTCCTATTCCTTGCTTTAATTTATTTTGTAGAGATAGAGATTAAATGCACGTAGAGGAGTAGCTACAGTAAATATTGCAGTTAGTATTTTAATGGAGTAAGTTTTTTCTTAGAATTCATTTTCATATTTTATTCAAAGTAAATTCGCTGAAAATGCCTTTCAATAATTTGTAGAATTTACTTTTTTATCATGAATACTTTCAAAGTAGCTGCTTTTAAGTTCTTGTCCCAAAGAATTTTATATTAATGAATAGCATTTAATTTTGAACTATTTAAAATCTTGCTAATATTTTAATTTCGTGAATGAAATGGTCAGTAAACGTAAATGCTTTTACAGTTCCTCCTAAATGGCGAACAGAACCTTCAGATAAATCTGTTGTTATGGGCCAGCCTGTTGTATTTGACTGCCAAGCTAATGGTTATCCAGATCCTGTTATAAGGTGGAAAAGGTCTACAGGTAAATAAAATTATTTTGTTTTACAAATAGAATTGTGATAATTTTAATATCACAAGATAAGGAATAGGATAGAAAAAGATGCTGTAAATTTTTCCTACATTTAATCAATAACTTAAAATTTTACCTTAAGCAAAATACTAGCTAACATATTTCGCTGTCGATATCCACGAGAAAGATTTCTTATACACTCTAGCAAAATACTATATAGCTGTTCTATACTGAAAGTCAATTGCTATAGTGTTTTCGAAAACATTTAAAATTATCATCGCATGGAGGTTTTGAGAAATATATTCTATTTAAAGTAAACTTCCTAAAACTGTTAATTTGATGATTTTCATCAGTGAGTAAATATATAGACAGATTTAGTACTGGACTCTATATATCTCTCTACCCAGCGTATGTGTTTAATACTAAATTAGGTTGAAGTGAGAATAAACATTTCATAAACTGATTAGCGAAAGTAAATTTCTACTCTAGGGAAGAGAAAACAGTTTTTCATTTATACATTCGGCCTTTTTCTTTTCCTGCGAAGAAAATTAATCTTTACGTTCATAAAGAAATCAATTTTCGAATATTGCGCTCATATTTAAATAAAAAAGAAGTTTGTTTTTCATAATATTTGTCATCTTGCATAACAAAGCATGAAATGTGTAAATAGAAATTCATGTTAAAATCTTTACATAGTATTTTCATGCAAATTTATTATTAAACAAGTTGCAGTTTATAAGTCTAAATTCCGATGTTTTATAAATATAAAATTTAAAAACGTGTGTCATTATTTATTGGAGCAGCAAATGGAAACAGGTAAATGGAAACAGGTATTTGCCGTTGAACATGATGTTCTTTTAAAAGTTACTCAATTAAAAAAACTAATACTCTTCTGAATATGTTAACATTATGTTATTTACTTGACGAGAAATAGCAAAAAATTCCAGGATTATCTTACTACGGAAGATATGCTTTCATAGAAGAGACAGATGCCCCGTGGTTTGCCGTAGTTAAGTAACGTAATCTCATGGGTTTGTGATGGATAATATAATAGAAATTGACTTGTATTCACGTTACACATATGAGAAATATAATGTTTAACTTTGCATTTAAATTTTCATTAACTTCGTAAATTGCAAAAAATAACACATCTCCAAAATAAGAAAAATTAAATCTTTGCTCCATTTAAGACTATTTTTAAACTGGTGCAAATCAGTGCTATTAGTAAGTTGTCTTTCTGCGGATGGAATCATTTCTGCAATATTCGAAAAAGTAAGAACTATTATTTAAGCATTTGATTTCATAAAATTAGCAAAGCAACAATTTTTATTTGGCGTAAATTTTCGTCAAGACTTTATCAATTTCGAGGTCAAACAGTGTCCTCTCCAACGTCTGGTGTTCTAACGTCTCCGATGATGGAAAAACCAAGACCAGATGTCTTTTTTAGATTTATTAAAAAACTTAAGCCTTCTTCTTTAATTAAGAAGTAGCATAACAGCAATATTTCTGAAGACGAAATTACCGACGCTCGAACGCCTCTTAACCTCGCGGTATTTCTCAGACAACAGCAACGTTTCTTTTTCTCTTACTAGATCAGTAACGGATATACCGCCAAGGGGGTTGTCCTTAACAAAGTCTTCCTTGACCATTTTCACTGGCCCACCGTGGATTCTGTGGTTTGTTCTCACTGGACCAGGAGGTTCTCTAATGTCACGTGTTATATTGTCTCAGTGTCACTTTCATAAAAGTCACTTGTGTTCATGAGGAGAAACAAAATCTGTAATCTTGACCAGATTTCTTTGATTTCTCGATGAAAAGGGACTTATAACTCTTTGCTTTCGAAATTGGTAGACATTTACATCTACGCCAATCAAAAGGTTGTTGTTTCGATAATTTAACGTTTTATTTTGGCCTGTTGCTCTCCTGTCTTGATTCGATTTCATTTTTTTAATAAATATTCTTTAATTACTTTTAATTTCAGAGTTCAGTTAAAGGCGCTTTCGTTGCAATCATAACAAAATGAATACTTTTTTAATAAACTGAAGTTCATATATTTCCTTTTATCTGCGTATTATCCATCAAATGACTGATAATCAAATAAGCATTTTAAAATAATTACACCGCCCAGATCCATAATTGGCTTCCAAGCAGCGATTAACATTAAAATTTCCGAAAGCTACTGCACTTAACTGGCCACTCTCTCAACGTAAACCAAAAATATATCTTTTCCTCTGGGTAGAAAATTATGAGAGCTCAGAACTTCCACACTGGGGGGAAATTTTCCATTTAATAGTCCCCCGCCATTCGCTGATGGAATGGCTTTCACTTTCGGGCAAACCACAGTTTAATGCGATCCCCGGTAGCTGTTAAGTAATTATATTTTCGCGTAAATTAAACACGTAAATTAACGTTTCCCTTTGTGCAGAAGCCAGTGCTATTAGACATCTTTTTGTTACTGCGCTGTTGGAATTGTGGCATTATCAATTCCAAATTTATCACAATTCCTCGTCTGATCAATTATATCCCTTTGTTACACTAATGGAAGAGCAGATGGTAAATGTTCCTAAAGCAATAATGTAGGATATGCGTATTAGGGAAGGAACAAAATGGAAGTTGAATGTGTCCGCCCCAGCGTACATAACTAAGTGCCAAATAATAGTGCTGCATGCAAATGATATACTGAGCATTTCAGATGATTAAGCAATTTTAGCATTTCCTTCTCCGGATCACGTTTCTAGAAGAAATTAAAGAGAAGGAGAACGGTAGTTAGTTAAATTAAAACATGTTTTTGGAGAGTTTTCATTTTTAACGCTTGGATGCTAATTCGATTATTGTACAAATCGAAATGAGCATAAACAGTATCTGTAATGAATGTCATCTGCCGAATGGTGGATAAGAAACAAATAACAAACAAATCTCATACACATAACAAGGAAAATGGTTTCAAAAATATTGTTATTGCCAGACATTTCATTATTTGATAATTGCCTGCAAGATTTAAAATTTTTCAAATCTCTTTAGTTTTTTTTCAAGTGTATTGATTTATTCACTCTGAGGTGTTTTTGAAGAACGATATATTTTTACTTTGTCATAAGGCAAAATTGTTTTACTTGATTTCTTTTTTTTTAATAAATAAGATGGCTGTTTTATAAGCATAGTGTATAATTTTCCATTTCTATGGGATTTTTTTTATGCATAAGCTGTTCTGAATTCAAAGAAAAATATGTATCAGTTTGAAACATGGATTTATAGATGATGTCAAATAAAGCTCTTTGTACACAAGAAGAGAAGCACGCTAATGTGACAATCAAAATCGTAAAAACAACCTTGTATTTAGCGTAAGAATATTGAAACACTCAATCGATTTCGAGGGCAGCTAAAGGTCCCTCCTCATCTGGAGAAAGAAAAATAAAGGGGAAGGAGTCTCAGAAACACGTGGTCCTTATCAGCACTGCACGTGGTTATAAACGGATTTTTAATCAGAGTTACACTGGCGGCCTACTTTTACTGAGCTAGGCTATCTGATCAAACATATAACACAAAGGACAAGAAAAATTAGCCTAATTATACTAATTATACTAATCATGTTGCGTTTTATTTTTTCCATCTATGGAATGCTTCGAATTCAAAATTGTCTTCATGAAAGTGCAGCGTTGCCAAACTGTAAAGTAAAAAAAAATCATTGAATACAAAATGTGACTTCCTAAAAGCAAAGTTTGAACTAACAAAATAGAGAGCTTTTATCTCTGGAACATAAATGTGTTATTATGAATTATCTCGAATATAAGTCATATATAAATATTTCTTTATTAGAGCTCTAGGGATTCAATATAATTATAGAAAACTTGAGAAGATTCATTGCCAGCTATGTTCCTTCCAAATTTGTCACAGTTCCTTATACTTTCGCTTGTTTACAATAAGTTAAACAATACAGAGTTGACTGAAGACCTCTTCGAATTTCAGTAATTTGTTGTTTATGTTCTTAAATTTATTTTTCAAAATTGAGGGTAACAGAGAAGTTCCACCCATCGAGTAAACATCATATTATTATTTGGCTTGCTGGTATGATAATTGTATCTTCTATCACTAGATGCCTTACGTGTACTAACAAAGATGATTTAAATCATTTCTTGTTTAGCTGCCATATGGCGTATGTATAAGATTAGATGCATCTCCAGTCGTTTTCTCTCTCAATATTTTTCCGGAGTTGATTGCAACTAAAGCTGAAAGATCTTAGAAAATTGAGAATCTACGTTATGCTGCTTTAGATATTACATATACAACCACCAATCATGCTAACTCTTTCGGATTGGGATTTAAGCATATTGCTATGAAGGAGACATTTTAAAATCAACTTTGCTTAAAATGTAGTGTGTGAGTATTATATATATTTATTTTTTTTTATTTTTGAAATTTATTGTCGACCATCACCCCAAGGAGCTTTTTCACATTTAATAAATTATTCAATATTTAAATTCAGATAGTTTCTTAATTGATTAGCAAATTTAAAATTGGGATAGGAATTTTGTTCAGAAATACAAAAAGACGAAACGCGATCCTGATGCATTGTTGCTGATGCTTTATAAAGAGATTACAACTCTTCTTGAAGTGTTGGGATGTTTTTGTGAAATTAACAATGATTTTCTTGCGCTTATAGCTTAAATTATCTTTTTTATTAGTTTAAAATTTTTAATCACAGTTCTGATTTAATTAATCACTAATTCCAATTTTTAATTTCCAGAATATTACGCATTTACTATCTAAATTTTTCTTCATATTTCCTAGGAGATAATTTGTCATTAGTACTATATTCCCTATTAAAGTTAGTATGGATATAATGAAACAAAAGCTTAAAATTTATAAATTAGAAGAAAAAGAGTATACTACTAAGAGAAAAGATATTAAATTAAAAAAGTACAGAAACTATTAAATTTTAGAATTAAATAATATACAAATTGAAAGATTAAAAATTTATTTTAGAAAAATATTTTACAAATTTAAAAAATATGAAA